CCGGCTTGCCCCCCGCCGACAAACCCCCCGAGAGGCTCCCTGCTCCCCCGGGAGGGCTTTCCGCTGGGCGATGCTTCCCTGCGGTGATCTTGGGACCGCACGGCACTTTGGGAACGGGGAACCGGAGGAGCCGCGCGGTCCCACTGCGGGCAGAGGTAGCGTGGGCAGCAGCAGCGGTGTCGCTCTGCCGCGGCTGAGGCTTCATCGGGTGCAGCGCTAGGTGTCGAGCAGCTTCACTGTCTTCTGCGTAAATGAGATTTTAATTTTACCAGGCAGAACCGAACACGAGGCTCTCAGTCCTCCGGCACTTCATAAAAGCAAGGTTAGATCAGCAGCCTCCAGCCGTCTCCCAGCGGGCAGGCTCTTTATAGAAAATGAAAAATAAGTTTGATTTTTCTTAGCTGTCTCTTGTGGATCTCCTAGAAGTGATCCACTGAAATCCATTAATAAGCATGAAATAAATTGTCCTAGTATTATTTTTTTAACCTCTTTTTTTTTTTAATTACCTTCAGTGAAGGTTTTGTTCGTTGCCTACACGGGAGAGCTCTTTTAGTAGGGATGCAATCAGCTGCCGAGAAATAGGGTAGGAGTAGCACAAAGGAAAGAAATTAAAAAAGCTGGGGAATTCATTTTGCTCGTTTCCTTGAGGAAAGTGTTTAAATTGGCGTGAGTACAAGGTTCTTCTAACACAAACACCCATGTCCAAGATTTCTTCAGATTGCATTGGAGCGGACTGATACTTGCTTGTCTCAGAGGAGCCGGGGCACTGTGTTTGAGACAAATTTCAAGCATTAACTTGCTTTGGTTATATGACTTTTTTTCTAAGCTCCAAGAAACATGAAGGATCCTCGCTAAATGATTATTTGTTTTGTTTACATGCAGAAATGGACAACTAATTAAAAATATGGATACAATAATTTATTCCATAGGAACCATCGCTGAGAAATGTATTAGCTCGCAGTTGTCCCTTTAAACCAAACATGCATTTAATTGTTCCTCATCTGCTCCTGCTGTTGTTGCCACTGCAAGAATATTTGGGGTTAGTATTCCTTTTACAGGTGTTAGGCTAAAACGCAGACCAAGACTAAGAACAGCTGTACTGACTCAGGCTAAAAAGATCTACCTGGTCGAGCATGTGTTGCCACCAGTAATTGTCTGGGGAGACGTGTAAGAGACTCCATTTCAGTGGCGAAAAAAAAAGAGTAAGCAGTAGGTTTTTACACCAGCAACCACCACGCTGCCATAGCGCAAATTCAGTGAGAGCTTGGATGACTGAGGTTCCCACTTGTGAAAGAACGGCTCTTACTCGACAGTCTTTTTCGGTAACACGCACCTAATAAAGAACAACCCTGTGTGAGGAGCAGACCTGCTCTGTGCTTCCACGGAAACACCTCTTCTTATTTTGATTTTGATTTCTGTTTTCCTATCATATACATGAAATTACTGATGTTGCAGGGGGGGGATTGTTGTTGCAACCGATCTTCTTACACACGTTACACTGCCGTTACAGGTGTTTTCGTTTTTTTCCCAGCTAACTTAGCTCTTGAGGTTTAGCTGAAGATTTTCCCAGTTATCTTCTTTTGAGCTAACTAATAATTGGGCTTGATGCTATTCCCATTTGCATGGCTTTCCACCAGTTTAACGCCGTTATTTCCATACATCATTTGTACCAGTTAGAAGGACCTGCCGAATCGGCCGCGTGAAATTTAGATTACTGGATGCTTGCAAAGTTAACTTGACTCTTAGCCCTTGCATGTGTTGCTTTGTCCTGCAGCTATGGTGGTTCTGGCCTTTGTAATTTGCTGGTTGCCTTTCCACGTTGGCGGGATCCTATTTATAAACACTCAGGATACCAGGATGATCTCCCGCTGCTCTCCCAGTACTTTAACGTCTTCGCTCTGCAGCTTTTCTGGAGGAGAAGGAGGAAGGAGTACACGACCACCTTCTGAGACTGCGTCCCAGGCACCACCGAGGTATTCCCTGCAGCGGCAGGGCAGAAACGGGTGGGCGCTTGTCAGCGCTCGTGGCATTTTGTCATTCTCTGTATTCTGAACTACTTGTATTTTTGTTAACCTAGTAAGTAGGGACTGTAAAATAGTGAGAACGACGTGCAACTCGTGAAAGGTAACACAACCGGAAAGGCCAGAGTAAATTATCCATAAAACTGTGGTTTCAGCTTATTACATGTTCATTGTATATGTGTTCTCTATAATGTCTAGTATTTTCCAGCAAGCATAATGTCAAGGACTGCACCCGAGAGCTGCATTTCATCTCTGACCTGTGAGGTTTCCAGCCGTGGTCGGAGCCAAAACCTCTCACTAATGTAGTGCCAGACACCTGGAGGGCTGCAGGTTTAAGGAAGGCATGTGGCATATGTGAAAGCATGTGGCATGGGATGCAAAAGGGCCTGTTCAATGTGGCAGCTATAGCACAGGTAAGATTTGCTTGCAGGAGACATATAAGCAGAGCAGAGCAGGTGCAGTGAGTCTGAACACCTTGCAGCCTGCAAGCGTGCTGCTGCTCTGAGAGAGCAGAGGTAACTGTGGCGAGGAGCTGCAATTTTTGCATTGCTTTGCCAAAGCCTGCTTTTCTTCGAAATAGGTCCTTCTCAAATGCACAAGATGCCCTGGGGCACAGGTAATGCTGCAGTCGAGGTTTGCTGGGGATTTCCTGGAGCTCAGAAGGAAACCAGAGCGAAACGTTGAGGCTCAGCGCAGCGCTCTGTGGTACTAGGTGCAATGGTGGAGTTTGCATTCAGGAAGCTGCAGGGACAGATATAAAATTAAATCTCTCAGGCAGTTTGTATCAGTAGATCTTAAAGTATTTTATCATGGGGGCAAAGCATAATATTCCCACTATATTGAAGGCTCAAGACGAGCCACTGTGTATGACTTGTTTCTGCTTCGGGCTCAGTATCTCCAGTGACAGGACAGGCGCAGGCTTGCACTAGAGGGACAAACGTGAAGTGAGTGGGGCTCTCTGGAGCCTGCCCAGAGATCACTGATGTAACCCTCGTGTGCGTAAAACTCCTAGGAGCCAAACCAACAGCGCCTCCTGCACAGCAGGCCCTCTAGCAGGAGCCCTTCGGTGACCCTAAATGTTGAGGCTGACACCTACCCGGTGCTTCCATGAGCCACACAAATTTCCAGGCAATCCTCTTAAGCCAGTGGCTTTCAGAGCCACATGCCCTTTTCTGCCTCTCGCTTGCTCTGTCCTCAGCCACAGGTCGCTCCGTCTGTGTGACACCCTCCTGTCTGAAGCGAGATCCCTCCCATTTCTATCTCCACCCTTGGACACCATCCAGCATTTTCCTCACCTCACCGTAGGGCATGGCTGACCCGGCCTCCTCTTCCCTTTCCTCCTTCCAGTCAGGACTCACCGAAAGGATTCTTTTTTTTTTCTTTCAGAAATACTTTGTGCTAAATCATTCTGCCAAGGGTCTCGTTCAAGCCAACAGGGGCTGGTTTGGGGTCATGTTCCTCACCCGCAGCCTGTCCCCATTAGCCACAAGTTCATGTGAACAGCAGCCATCAGAAAACCCAGCCAGATCCTGGGACCATGTACAAGGTGCCATATCCAGACCATGTGTGGCAGGTTGCTACTTAACCTGCCAGAGAAACTCATCTCCCAAAGCTGGTCTCAACATCACTTCTCCAAGGGGCAGCAAGGGCTGTGCATGAGCAGAGGTGGCTGCAGCATCCCTGGTGCGTGTCCATGCTGCACAGAGAGGTATGCCACGCCACAGACAAGGCAGAGAAGCCCGAGCTCAGTGCACAGCTCCATGCTGCACTGATAGGTTTTAAAGCCTTTGAGATGGCAGAGAAGTAGATGAATCTAGGAGTATATCCGATCCTGAACCTCCTCTTTAAAAGTACGACACGTAAGTTCTTTGAGACTAGTTGGTGTCAAAAAAAATTAAAGAGAGAAAAATCTGAACCCTTAAGAAGAGCTAGATATTCTTTTTTTTCCTGAGACATAGTGAGGAGGGAACCATTGCTTTACATGGTTTCAGACCTGGGGTGCTAAACCCAACCGCAAACTCCCAGTGGCCACAGCAAATTTCAGCTCAGTCTGAATTGCCTTTGGAGGTGGGAAGGTCCACCGTGAAAGAGCAGCCATTTCACCAGAGCAGGTGCAGTCCTTCCTGACAGCCTCATGCAGACACAACGACGATGCCACAGGTCCCACAGGACAGCGTGTGGCTCAGGTGACAAAGCAGGGCAGAAGAAGATGAAATCCAGAGTGGCCTCCCTTTCCCCACGTCACTTTAAGGCAAACTTTGAGGCAAAGACCCTTATACTCCGTTGGTGTCCCACCAGGGTTTCCACTTTTGCTGTCACCGAAAGGTCTCAGCCGGAATGTGCCAGTGCTGCATGGAGCATTAAAGGGGCACAGAGATACCCAGGACTCTTGCTGGCAGCACATCTGCCTCCTTGTATTTAGCCTATCATCAGGTTGAATTCTGTGTCACACATATTGACTCCTTAACCCCAGTTGCTCTTTTTCTTTATTTCTGAAAAGATCAAAGAAAATAAACAGACATCCTTCATGGAGCTCCCTGGTGGAAAACCTGCTGTGGGTCACCACTGTGCCACCTCTTCCCACCCCCACAGCCACCACTGAAAAATAACCCATGGGCCTCCATGTCCCATGGCTGTGGATGGGAACGCAATCATGGTCAATATTCAACGCAGGCTGCACCTTTGCATTCCCCAGCTGGCTTCCACGTAGGGGAGGTCTCACTCATGCGCTCACGCTGTAATGGGCAAGCTGGAGTCCCCTTGAGGTACCTGGGGGTGGTTCAGAGGCTCGTCGGTCTCCTTGCCTTCCCCAGCCCAATGCAGCTGAGCTCTTCAGCCCTTCCGGTAGAGGAAGGAGGACTCCTCATGCTGTCTCAGAGAGGGTCTGTCTGTGGCTTTAGAGCTGTCTTGGCTGTGCCAGGTAACCCAGGTTATCACTTCTTTGATGCCGGCCACGGAGCAAGATCAAGAAATAACAGGGCAGAAGATGGTTTTAGTGAAACTGCTCTCAGCCTCCGTGACCCCCCTGGAAAATGCTCTGAGAGCAGCGAACGTACTCTGAACAGACGCAAAACTCAAGTCCTCAACTGATTTTTCGGAGGTGCTTCAATGCAATAGGTCATTTACAATATGACTGTCAGGGAGTCAAAAGGACCAGATACATCTCAATGAAGTGGGCAAGAACTGTCGCCCCTAAAGTACACCAGCTTCACTGGCTACAGTGAAGAAGGTGAATTAAAACCAATAAATTTGGTTAACCTGGTAGACATGGAGGTAGGAGAAAGCAGTTAAAAATAAGGAAAAGCACCAGATGATAGGACATAAGTAGATTAGCTTTTTAAATCAAGCTATTTTATTTACAAGGATTTCTGAGGACAGTAAAATGTAAACCATAAGCTCCATTAAATGTATCATGAATAAATCAGTTCAGAAATCAAAGGCTTCTCTAACCATCAGCTTAAGTTGCTTGTGGTCATCGCTGGTTCACAGTGTTTTTCTGCATAACATCTCTAATGTCTCCTACCTATCTCCTAATATCCTAACTCCTACCCAGTCACACCGCGCAAACCTGTATGAGGCTCTTGCAAGCTGATGTCTTGCTTCCTGATCCGTCCTTTTTTATTGGCTTTGATGAATACAGCCCATCCAGAAGGTTTCTGTAAAGACATTAACTAGCAGTTTGAAGACATCATGTTACCCTTCTTTTTGCCTCCTTCCACCAGCTTCTTCCTCTTAGGTACATCAAATGTAAAATTTGTGTTTTCACCTTTTATGCGCTTCATGGTTTTGCCCTTCCTTGCCAATCACCTCTGCCATCCAGAGACTGATGCGTGCTGCCAAGCAGCCCATGACAAATAAGACAGACAAGTCTGCTCGTGCCTCAGCCCACTTTTGTGTCTGAAGGAGGTTTCTGCCATAAATGTCCTCAAAGTTAATCAATCAGTATCATCTTTCAAATCTCTCCTTAAAAACTCTTCTTTCCTGTGATGCTTCTCAAAAAGTCCCCAGATCAAAGCCAGATCAGGATGTAAGTCAGATAAGATGTATTACACACAGCGTGGTGTCCTAAACTTGTGACTCCACCAGGCGCCCCTGAAGTTAGCAACAAAGAGCCCAAGTTTGGCACAGTAAAAGGCCCAAGAGGTATCACCTGGAGATCACAGAAACCAGTACAGAGTAGCAGAAAACGCAAGCAAGGTGAAAAGGTGCATTTACTTGGACGGGAAGGAGAAACATCGCTAGTGATACGGATGTTACAGATGGCACTTGGATCCCTCTGAAGCCATACCAGAGATGACTGCTGTCCTGAGCACAGTAGCAGGTAAAAAACAGCCGAGGTCCAAGGACGGAAAGAATTGTTTTTCCAGAATTTATTTAAGAAATCCTACATGACAATGAATAGGACAGCTGAACACAAAAGGTGGTGGGACTACCACCATGCCCTCCCTGACAGTAGCCACTAGTAGGTCTTAATAGTCACCACAGAGGAAGTGAGTCACTTTTACGTCAGCGATCTCAGAAACTTTATTACGGCAATAAAATGGTTAGGCTGCTGCTAAGTGAGTTTCATGAAGACCATTACAGCTCCACAAGACTTAGTACCTGCCTGCTGTTTCAGCAGGGGCACCTGTACGCTGCAGGGCTGTGCAATGCTTCTGAGCACTCAAAAACTCTTCACGGTTGTGAGCAATTCCAGGAAGCCTCTGAAAGGAGCAATGAAAAATGGCCCAGCTTTTGCTTCTGCTATAAATCAAGGATAGTAGCACCGACAGGACTGGAGCTAAACCGATTACAAGAGGAGACACTGGGCCCAACAAGCATGTAGATCCCATGCAGCACATTTTGTCTGTCATAACAAGCAAACTGGTTCCCTAATTGGAATTTAAGTCTACTCTTTTTCTGTGCTGGGCAAATACATCCCAACTGCAAGCTGTATTTTGACCCTGGGAAAGCAGAGGCCATCCACCACAGAAGCAAAGGAATCCAGAGAGAAGCTGAGCTTCACTCTGCCCTGTAGCAACTGAGCCCAGTAAAGGGAACATTTTCTTAATCCTGGGTCTCAGTTCTGCAGACATCAAGCCAGGCAGCGTTCCCAGCCTTGGAAGCCATTTAGGCTTGCAGGCATTAGCTCTTTGCACATCTTCAATTCCACAGACTTCAGCTGAACCTGCTAGACTGACCTGGACAGGCAGCATCCGTGCAATGGAATGATCTCATCCCAAATCCCCCAGCAGCCTACTCCTCCAGAACAAGCCCCTGTGATTATCGCAGCACGAGCGACCGCCTCTGCCAGGTGAGGGTAGGAGGCTGGGCTGCTCTGCAGTCAGCCAGTGAGGAGGACAGCGGGGGAAGAGAGGCAGCAGAAGCTGAAAATGAGTTTTTTGCATTCCTAGATGGAAATCAGTGACCCCTGTTCAACAGCTGTTGCACTACCACAGGTCTCCAGGATTAGTGCCCTCAGATCTCACCATCACCATTATTGTATCAATACACAGGAAATCATGCTATTGTATTGTCCTGAGATCCCACTGGGCTCTCTAGGGCATTTTTACCAGATTTCTTCATCCCTTATGTCCTAAATCAACCCCTACGTAGCCCGCACACTGGGCTGTGAACCTTTATGTCACTGAACTCCTCAACCCATCTTTTCAGTGGTCACAAGGCTTCCTTAACCACAAGCAAATTAACCTGGTTGTTAGTTTTGCCCCAAGCACATAAGGGAGACACAGCAGCCAGGCAGCGGGAAGCATAGGGTCCCCCGAGTCATCTAGCCCAGCCTCCCGTCATATCGAGAGGTGAGACTATGGAGGCTGAAATTCAGAGTGCTGCTCCCACCTCAAGTGATGACCAGTTTTACCCACCTCTGGGAAGTTATCATGTTTTCTGCCTGATAAAGGTACAGCACGGGCAGACCAAATACAGTAAAACTTGCTCCTTTCTTGCTGCTGCTCTTGTTGCCAAAGACCCTCCTGCAGAGCACAGGACATGGAAAGAAGCAGGGGACGATGGAGTTGCCTGTAGCCCTGGCACAGACAAGCCTGGGAAAGACCCAGGAAAACTTTGAAGAGCAGCAGGTCCCATGAAACAGAACCCCTCTGCTATGCAGTATGCAGAAGAGACACATCCAGCCCTGTTTCTTCCTCTTATGCTCTATCCCTTTACTATTTACTTTTTACCATCTATCTGATTTGTCTTCAGAGTCCATTTTGCAGCTGTCGGTGAGAAACAGCTCTCCTTAAAAGGTTGTAACAGCCAGAGTCTTCATTTTCATTTCATTTTCTTCCTTTCAGACATTTCTTGCCGTAGGAAGTGTGTATCTGTGAGGGGAACAATCTGTCTCCAGGACATCTTTTCAAGTGGAAATGTCCAATGTATTTTATTTCCGTCGGGGCTCTAGGAATACTGCATTTATTTTTCAGCAGGGAAACAAGACTGAATTCTTGTCTCCTTCTCATCAGATACATGGGACGGAAATGTCAAGGGCAACACATAACAGTAAGGAAATTTGACAGCTAATCTCTGTTGTGAAATGGAAGAAAAGTCAAAGTCTGACCACTTGACAGCACATATTACTGCATTATAAATGATGGACAAAAAGACCTTCCCTTAGAACAAAAGCCTTGTGGTTTGCAGACTGCAGAACACACAAGGGTACCATTTTTGTGCAAGGCAACCTTTGACTTACTTATTCATACAACGGATTGCGAGCTTTACCACACAAATGATACGGAACAGAACTCCATGCCTGAGCCCGGGGGAGTTAGCCTGCAGATGAATTTGGGTCATGGATCCACTCAGGGCAGGGCTGTGTGGAGTGCCCAAGGCACCCCATTCATCTTGATGCCAGTGAAGCAAGCTCTCAGTGGACTCTGAGCATCCAAAAGGCCCTGCCAGCGCTCAGCATCGTTCAGGATGAAGCCCACTGCAGCCAAGGGATGCTCACCACCACGCAAAAGGTATCTGCTGCACCTTAAAGGCTGAATCCAGTAAGCAGTCAGGTAGCTAGCAAGTATAATAGGTGAGTGTTGCGACTCTGAGTATCCATACCTCATTGTGGAACTGGTCGCTTCCACATTTTCAGCACAAACCTGGCCCTGTTAGGAGGAAGAAAGGGGTATCACTAGCTGTGACCAGTGAGCAGCACGGCAGGAGTCGTTCTTAAACTGCTTCCTAGTGGTAGCATGTCCTGCCAGCAGGACAGGAAACCAGCCAGGAAGCTGAACTCTTCCCCTCGCAAGGGATGGACTAGGGTCTATGATTTCTACAGCAGAAGAGAGGTGAAGTATAGTTATTTTTGCTGCCTCTCTTTTGTGGAGTTGACAGATGCTGTTTTCCTCGCTGTCAAAGTGACTCTTGCACAGCTCCTAGTCTTGCTCTTTTTCAAAACATCAAAAAAGGCAGTAAGTGCTGAAGACAGAGTTTGATGTAGAGACTTAAAGCCAAAGGTATTGGATGAGGTCTCTCTTGCCTGGTGTATCTCCCTGCTTTTTACTCACCCTGTGCCTTGCTCAGCAGTAACCAGGACAAACCACAAGAGAAGTGTCTCACCTTTTCCTGGCGCTTCTGAAACACTGTAGGCCAAAAAGTGCCCTCAGGAGCTGAGTCTGGATGTCCCATCTCAGTGTTACCATCCCGTCTCCACCTGTGGCAGGGTGAAATTGTGGAAACCAGGCCGGGCAATCTGCATTAGAAGAGCATGCAGGAGGACACCCGTGCTCTGTGCCGTGTTAAGGACAGCCCTGAAGTCCCGCTCAAAATCAGACTCCAGATTAAAAACAATGTAAGGAAGCATGGCCTGCACAGGACCTTGGATCCCATGTGTCCAACAACCTTCATGCCAGTACCCTGACTGTGGCTGCCTGCAAAGACCATATAGCAACTCTATATAGACAGAAATTGAGAAAGCAGTGAAGCACACCTCTTACAGCCATCTCAAAGACTGCTCCGCTACTGCAATCTAGGCATAGCCAACGTCTCCCTGTTTTGTCCCCAGGAGGTTGACTGAAACTCCATTACCATCCCATGGTGATTTCTCCAGGGTGGGCTGCAGGCTCTACTCAGGGCACATTCCCTGCACAACGTCACAGCCATCACAAACCACTCGTGTGCCACCACACACTCAAAATATTTCCCTTTCCATTGCACGTACTTCAGTGCGCTGCAATATAAAATAAGTGCTCTGCTGTCTGTTCCAAGTTCATTTGTACAGTTTTTTGTCTGTGTGATATCCGGGTTGTTATCTGGATTGGAGTTACATAAACAGTTTCTCAAAA